GATCTCAAAGCCAACAATCCCATCAATCACATTCTCAACCACAATCTCAACCACAATCTCAACCACAATCTCAACCACAATCTCAACCAGTTTCGCAACCAGTATCATATGAAATTCAAAGTTCACCTGTTATTTTTGGTATCATTTTTTAAAAAAAAAGATTCAACGATATCATGACAATATCGTAACGATATCGTAACGATATCGTTACGATATTGTCGCGATATCATTACGATATCGTTGACATGTAGTTACTAAAAGCTTGAATCTTTAGCAACTACATGACAACGTATTGTAATGATATCATAACAATATCGTAACGATATCGTAACGATATCGTTACGATATTGTCATGATATCATTACAATATCGTTGTCATGTAGTTACTAAAAGCTTGAATCTTTTTTATTAATTAATATTTTTAATAAATAAACTTATTTTATATATATTTTTTTTTATTTTTTTATAAATTAAGATCTTAATACGGTATTGAATTACTTGGAAGGTCACATTAATAATGATCGTTCTACAACACTTACAGCTCTGCGAACTAGATTTGGGCTTCTTACCAACGAACTTGTTAATGATGGTGTAGATGCTATGATGACCGTTCTCTTTCCGAATACGTCGAGACGATCTCGATCGGCAACTCCAATTTTATCACGACCGTCAAGTCCAATCGTGCCAGAAGATTTTTACTTCACGAATCTTGATGATTGGACATATTCGCCGCCACCTTCTGTTGAGCCTCGAGATGATTATGAAGTAGAGCTGCTCAAGGATGGTTTAAACCTCCCCCGGTCTATTTTGAAAATGGGTACTTCCCATTCATGCCAAGACGAGCTCACGATGTACCTTCAGCTTTTACCAAGCATGGAAAAACTACAACATCTGTGCAAGTCTGTGATTACTATGCAACCCATAAAGTAATAGTCTTATCATTATAATTTGTTTTTACGTGTTAGGATTAGTGATACGGGTCAATGAAAAAACCGTGGGCCGGGGTCAATCCTAAAAAAGCT